TGGCCATGTACTGCGCCACACGCTCTGGGCAAGCATGGATCCACGGCGCCGGGACACGGAACCTCTGCAGCGTGGCCTTCGAAAAGCATTGAGGGAACCACTGCATGGCCAATTGCAAGGCCATCTCCGGCTCCAATGGGTGGTAGTCGCAAAGCACTCGCTTGGCCACACAGTAGTTGCTGCAGGCATCATTGAGCCAGTCGGTGGTGAAGCTGTCACTGAATTTGGGAACGTAGCCCGAAACATACTTCAAAAGCAGGCCTCGGCCATCCGACATTTGCACGTCCACATGGCAGTGCAGGCTCGTCAGCAGATCCACAAGGTAGGCTCGCACACCTTCCGCCGTGCCCGCGGGGTTGCGGGTGCACCAATCCTCCGCAGTATGATGCAAGCGCAAGAGACCCTTCTCTGCATCGTAGAAGGAGGAGCCGTCGTGGCGCGGCCACCCGCTGCCCGTCCAGGATCTTTGCGAGCCATTGACAAGGCTGGCCACCACCTCGTTGTCCTCCGGCACGGTCGCGGCGACAGCGGACTCCAAGCAGATCGCTTCCACGTGCTGCAGCCACACCAACAAATGCAAGTGCACGGTGCCCCTGCCATGGTAGAACTGGGCCGCGACCTCTTCCTCTCCGATGTAGCGGCGCCGCTTGCCGTCTTGGTATTCCAGACGCCAGAAGAAGTTCACCACCGTCTTCTTGCCGGAGCCGTCTTTTGCCGCGAAGACGTGGCTCTTCCAAGCTTGCTCCGTCTTGCGCCCAGTCTGCTTGTTTGCCCCTGTCAAGAAGCCAACCACCGTCTGCGTCAACACGTGCGCAATGCGCAGCGTTTCTGCCACGGGCAAGTGCAAGCGGGACCGCAGGAGCTTCGTGGCTTCATCTTCCACCCAGCGGTGAAACGGGAAGGACCATTCGTAGGGAGCCACTGTCAGGAACAGGGTTGGCAACCCCAGCTGTCGCACCAAGTCCACGAGAGCTGCGTGGCGTGTGTGCCAGTACTCCGGAGCGAAGGAGTAGCCGCCCATGGCCAGCCGCAGGGGCGCCTCCACGGCATTGCGCTTGGCGCCGAGGGCGCTCCACAGCCAAAGGTCGTACACAAACTGGAAGACCTCGTAGGTGGATCCATATCCCAACGTGGGCCCGAGAACCTTGGCGAGATAGGCGCTCTTGGCCGAATTGCGGCCGGCCCGAGCGAAGTCCAAAGGAGCCGCGACCTCTGCATCCGAATCCTCTTCGCCCGCCTCGTTGCCAGCTGCAAGCCTGGCGTCATCTGCCTCGGTCTCCGAACTGCTCGGGCCATCCGTGGCGTCAGCCAGCAAAGCACTGCCGGGTCGCTGGCGCGCTGCGCGATCCCGGCGCCGGACATCTGCCTTGCGCACATAGGTAGGTCTCACACATGGCAGTCAGAGGATACAAATGGGGCCAGGCCGCGCATTCCAGCCCCTCTTCTTCCAAGGCCCGGCGAGGCAGCTGCAGCAATCTGTCGTTGGCGCTCCCGGTCAAAGCCGCCCGGTTGCGCCGAAGGAATTTCTCGTGCATCTCCACAAAGCGGCTGTAGGAGGACTCATGGGATGCCATCAAATAGTAGTAGACATCTTGGGCTCGAGCTTGCTCTTCAGGAACCACCAATTGCTGGATCTGTTGGCGCACCGTCCGCGGCCGCCACCAGAAACGGATCATGTCTGTGTGCACCCGATAGCCATGCCGGGCCCACACGGGCCTGCCCACATCTGGCTCCAGCGGACGAAGGGCCCAGAGGACATTCGGCGGCAGATGCTGAAGAGCCTCCGGAATCTGCTCCGGGGCAACGGTCGGATAGCCAGAGCCACTAGCGCAATGCAGACACTTGGCGACGCAGTTCTTCCGTGGCCTCGTCCCCGAAATGTCGACCTCATGAAGCGGTCGCTTCTGCAGGCGATGGCATTGTTCGCACATGGTCCAAGAAGTGTTGCGGCACCAGGTCTCAAACTTCGCCGCCGCCGCAGAGCGCCAGGAATCATCGCCTTCGGCCCTGGCCGACAGTAGCGGCCCGAACTTCGCCCGCAGACGACGACCGTCTTCTGCTTGGCCTCGACGATAGGTGGCTGCGGCAGCATCTCCGAAGGCTTCACCCAATTGTTGCCGACGCTGTAGCAAGTGAGTCCAGGACTGAGCTTCCGCAGCTGCGGCCTTCCGCTCCGCCACCGCTGCGCGAGAGGGACGCTGCATAGCTGCATCGATCTGTCTCCGCGCGGCCTCTGGCAAACGGGCCAGCGCGGCTTCAGCCACGTCCACTCGACCGGCGGCTTGCCACTGCCTCAAAGCCCGGGTCAATTGCTTCCGCCGCTGCGGCAGCTCGCCTGCTTGGAGCAAGGCCGGGGGGTCGCACCAAAGACATCGAGCGCGCCCCTTGTCCATCCTGGCGGGGCTCCCCGCGACATCGGCTCTAATGGCAAATATGCAAGGCGCGGCAGGGCCTTGCCCGGGGCAGAGTTCGCAGGGATTCCGCGCCCGTGCCGCCGGCCGCTTCATGGACCCGCCCGCCACAGCTTCCTCGGCCCTGCGTGGTTGGAAAGCGACCTCGTCTTGCCACTCCAGCGGCGGCGCTGTCTTGCCGCGCAAGCGCCGGCGGACGGACCCTGGCGCTGCGGGCGGCGCATCGTCCGGCCACGCTTCCGCCGCCGCCGCCGCCCAGGCCGCAGGGAGAGGCGAGGCCTCGTCGAAGCGCACCTCGTCAGCCGCCGCTTCTGCCAAAATGTCTTGCACCTGAGGCTCCAACGCCATGGCTTCGATGAGTGGGTGGTCAGAAAAGAACGCGCCGTCCTTTAAAATGGCTGCGACGGCGACGCGCATCGCTGCGCATGCCAAGCTGCACGCCACCGTATATGACAACCCCACTCTGCCGAAGCTCCGCGCTTCCACCGGCGCCTGCACCCGTGAGTATATAAGTGGCTTGACCGGTCCCTTTTCTTTTTCGTCCGCGGACGCCAAGAGGTGTCGCGCGAAGGCCGCGGCCAGTTTCTCTGGATAAGTCTTTGCCGCGGCTTTCGCCACAGGAAACTGCCCTTCGAAACAACTGGCACTAGTTACCAACTTTGACTTCACGCTGTCATGGGGCTGTCTCGTTTCCTGCGGGCTGGCCTCGCAACTCGAAACTGCGCGGGCTACTACAGCAAGATTGAGCTACGTTTCTCAGCCGCCTTTGCGCAGCAAGGCCAAATCTCCACAAACGTCCGTGGTCACAGATGTATCGGCCGGCTGCAAGGTGCCGTCCTCTGCCAAAGACTGCACAGACCAATTGGCCAGCTCTTCGACGGAGGACTGAGCGGCGAAGAGCTTCTCCAGGGCCGCTTGGACGGTCGTGGCGCCGTCTTGAGGCAGCTCGTCGTACAAGTCGTCCTCTTTCACAATGGCCTTTCCAGCGTGCGATGCAGTGACCCGCCGCACTTTCACGGTCCCGCCCTTGGGGGCCTTGGCTCGCCCGGGCTTCTTGGGAGAAGAGCTGCTGGTAGAGCTGGAAGATGCCTTGCGCTTCTTCGCCGCCTTCTTCTTGGCCTTTTTCTCGGCCTTCTTGTCCTTTTTGCCCTTGCGATCCTTTTTTGTTTTCTTTTTTGGCTCCGAGCTACCAGAGTCCGTCGAGGGCATCTTGGCGGCCGGGGCCTTGCGGGCAAACAGGGCTGTGGGGTCGTTCTTGCCGGTCGTGGATTCTTCGATCTTCTCCAGGAGCAAAGCCGCCATGGCGCGGAGCATCTTGTCGCTGTCCCCGGGGTCTCGCTTCCAGGCCGCGAAGCGCTTGTGGTCCGACAGAGTGTCCGGCACGTGGCCGCCCCACCAACTTGGGTCGCCAAGCGCGGCCGCCAGCGGCAACAGATGCGCGCTCATCAAGAAGAGGCGGCTGCCGGCGATGGCGGCCTGTATTGCCACTTCCTCAACGTCAGGGCCTGTCAGGCTGCTCCGCAAGCTGGTCAATGCGGCGACCAAAATCTCTTCGGAGCGGTCCACGCTGGCATCCAATGTGTTCAGAGCCTGCAGCTCGCCCCGGAGGCCGCCCAGGACCGTGGCCAACTTCTCCCATGCAACCTTGTCCATTTTCGCCAAGACGTCCGCTCCGGCAGCGATGGATCCAGCTGCCTCACTCAGCCCGACCCCGGGACGTCGGAGAAGGTGATGGTTTTCTGCAGACAAGGTCCGCCGAAGATGCTTCTTGGATAGGAAAGTGAAATCATCCACTTTGTGCTTGCTGTCTTTCACAAAAGCGCTGCCATCTACATCCGCTGCCGTCTTCAGGATCGCTTTGCTGAGTTGGTATCGGCTCAGAATCCTGTGGGTGGATTGCAGTCCTGCCCCTTCGCCAGCGTCGGCGGCCTCCTCGGCTCCACCCCACTTGCCCTTGCCTTTTTTTCCACCGGAGCCCTTCCAAGGGCGGCTGCCTTGCCAATCTTCGTTCCAAGCGCCGCCGCCCCAAGCTCCACCCCATTTGCCCTTCCAGGAGCCAGCCATGGCAGTATACGGGTGCGGACGGCTGTCTGCTTCTGCGTAAGTTAGCGACTGAATGGCTGCAGCGGCGGACATGCAAACTGCGGCGCCAGAGACACGATACTTTCAAGGGCAGAGACACGGGGCTGGACGACAACCTTCAGACATCGCAGCGTGGAATGCGGACATCTTTGTTGCTGGCTGTTGGCTGCAGGAAAATGCGAACGTCGTGTCTTTTTCACAGCCTCTCTTTCACAATGGCTTCATCCGCGCCCGCGCTCACTCCGCAGCCCACCAAAGGCTTCCACGTGCCCGTCGTCCACGGACAGCGCCGCCGCCGCGGCACAGCCAAGCGAGGCGCCGCGGAGCTAGGGCCGCGTACCTGAGAGCGACGACCGGCGGACCACGTGCCCGGGCGCGATGGCCTGTCTGGTGTGTCTGTCTGTCTGTCTCTCTGTCTGTCTGTCTGTCTGTATGTCAGTCTCGGTCCGGTTAGCTTTCTTGGCATCTGTCCAGGTCCGTCTGCGCGCCCTTCCTCACTGCTGGCTGAGCCAGACCTCAGTCCAGCTCCCAGGATTGCATGCCAGGCATCCTTTGGGTGGGTGGGTGGAGCAGGAGAAGTATGGAACCGGTATCGACCTGCGAACCTATGTTTCTGGCGGCCCGCCTGGCGGGGAGCAAGCGCCAGCCCTAAAGTCTTAGGAGGCTCGCTGGGTCACCTGCCGCCCGGGGAGGGCGACAGGCGCGCCCGGGCGCTACTGCCTAACCTTAAGGTTTTGAAAAACCGCGCCCGGAGAAAAGCGCCCAGACATGACCGCCAAAAGGCGCCCAGAGAGTGGATTCGGAGGGTTCCGGCTGGGCGTCCGGAGGTCGCCGGCGGCCAGTTTTAGTGAAGAATGTAATCGTCGTAGATTTTCTCCGGCCGGTCTCCGGTCCAGTCTCCGGTCGGTCTCCGGTCCGGGTCTCCGGTCCTCTCCGGTTCTCCGGCCCGGGTGCCGGAGAATTTCTCCGGTCGGTCTCCGGTCCAGTCTCCGGCCGGTCTCCGGTCCTCCGGTCCCGGGCGCGGTGAGACCGGAGACCCGTTTTCTCCGGTCCCGGGCGCGGGCAGGACCGGAGACCCGTTTTCTCCGGTCCCGGGCGCGGGCAGGGCCGGAGACCCGTTTTCTCCGGTCCCGGGCGCGGGCGGGGCCGGAGACCCGTTTTCTCCGGTCCCGAGCGCGGGTGGGACCGGAGACCCGTTTTCCTCTTCACCGTGCGCGTTTTATCCTGTGCTACGAGAGGGCTGTGAAAGGCAATCCTGTGCTACGAGAGAGCCTGTAAAGGCAAGCCTGTGCTACGAGAATGCCTTTAAAGGCAATCCTGTGCTGCGAGAAGGCCTTTAAAGGCAATCCTGTGCTACGATCCCGGTGCAGGGCTTCACCACGTGGTTTTAGGGTATTTACCTTCTAAGGGAATATCAAGGTATCCTTGTATAGGATTGGCACAGCGATAGCTGTCCTGAGGCAAAGCTAAGCCTTAGAGGCTCTATTAGACCACTCTTCAATGGCACCACCCATTGTTCTACCATGAGCTGGTGTGATGGGCTGCCGGGTATCTTCAGTGTCTGGCCACCCAGTTATGGGTGGGAACGGCCTAAGCAGGCCGGGTGGGGTTTAGGGTTTAGGGTTTAGGGTTTAGGGTTTAGTGTTCAGTGGGTTTCAGGGTTCAGAGAAAGGCGTCGCGCAAGTAATCACAAAAGGGTTTTGTAAAATTCCCACCCACCCATAGGTCCCACTCCATCAGGGATATAAACATATCACATTCACACGGTTCCTCCATCTCAAGTTAGTTTATAAACTCCTCTTCTAGAGGCTCCCTGGCGCCTCGCATGGTGCCTCCCTGGTGCCTCCCTGGTGCCTCCCTGGCTGTCCTAATGGTCCTTTCCTGCCTCCCTGGTGCCTCCCTGGTGCCTATTGGTCCTTTC